CATAGCTCCGACCCAGTTATGCCCAAATGGGTGGCGGACTCTGATCGTCACGTTTATTCTATAGGATAGATTAGGTAACCCTGAGCTTATAGTTGAGCAGTTCAACTCTTTATTTACTTTTAAGGAGGATGGGAAGAACTCGGGTTGGTGGTACACAAGTGTTAGGCCAAGGACGGGAGGTTCTCTGATTTTAGACACCCCCTCCTCGATTAAGAAATGGAAGGAAGAGTGGTTCTATGTATTGGGAGAGTGGCAGTTTCATTCTGTCGAGGTGAATAGGGACGACGTGGTCCCAGCGCTTTATCACTCGTTATATAAGTAACTGCCTCTTGGTGTTTTGACCTAGATTGTATTATGAGCGGCTCTAATTGATATCATGTTACTGTGTAGATTACAAGAGGCCTACACTGAAGAAAGACACTCAGAGGCAAATTTTTGCTCTCGAATTCCAACCTTTTCCAGGCCAGCTTGATTCAAACTAGGGTGCCAGGGCCTTCTACCGTCGCAGCATCTACATCGGTTCCTACCAGTTCAGGTTGGTTTTGATTGGTTTATTGAGGTGATATTTGTTAGAGTTGAGTACTACATACATTTTTGTTTACAGCTCACAATTCAGAAATGTTGGGATACAAGGCGGCGAAAGCTGTGGCCGCAACGAAGGCCAAGAAGAAGTATGTCCCAGAACGGGATGAAAGTCGTTCTGAGGAAGTGTAGGACGAGGTCCCCTTGAAGAGGAACCGTACTGGTACGCCGACCGCACCAAGGGTCCCTAAAGTTGATCCTGCGTTGAGCTCTTCTCCTTTGGTGGCCATCACTTTGCTATCTCTAGGTCATACCTCGCCACCTCCTACGGCACCTACTTTCGCTTCGACTAGCTCGGCAAGGGTGCAGGAGAGATGCCTGGACTTACAGAGGCCATCACTGGACAGTCTGCTAGGCCACCGCCCAGAGATCTTCCTGGATTACTTGCGAGCTCCATCTCCATCGAGGGAGGTTACTACTGCACTTCCCCCACCTCTGCGTGATTCTGCAAACCTGCTTACCAGGAGTTGGGGTGAAAAGGAGTAGGGCTTCTTTAATGAGATGCCCATAGGCGAGGCCTTAGTGATTGCTCAACTCCACGACCATTGCTCTATCCTGTACATGATGACCGTAGCTGATAAGGTATTTTCCTTACTTCATTTTATTTGATGATTTACATATTTACGAGCTGCTTAACTTATGGATTTTAATGTAGGTGAGATCTGAGCTCGACAAACTGATGGAGGCCAAGGATCAGGCCTTGAATTTGTATAATAGCATGGAGGCTGAGAGAGCTCAGTTTGCAATAAAAGAAAAAGAATACGAGAGAAAGCTTAACATGATGGGGTTTGAGCTGAACTCGAGGCTAGAGATAGAAGAGAAGTGGATGGGAAGATTAGAGCTCTGAGGGAGGAAGATGGTCGTAGGGCTGACACTGAGAAGAAGAGGATTGAAGAAGAGAGAGTTCGAACTGAGGAGGCTATGGCAAAGGTACGGGAGGCAAATGAGAGAGCAAGAAAGGCGATGCGTAGAGCTGAGGAGGCTGAATCTAGGGTTGCGAAGGTAGTGGAGACTTGGAAATCATCCTCCGAGTTTGACGCTCTTGCTCAGGATGCTTTCGTCGTGGCTCTGGAGGAAGTAGTAAAACACATTCGCAGAGAGAGGCCAGGGTTCGACGTGGGTTTCCTTGAGGAGGCTGTGGAAGAGCAAAAGGAAGAGCTTCAGCGTTTATCGGAAGTGGCAGGGGTTCGAATTTCTCCTGCTGATGAAGATGATGTCGCTCCTCGTGAAGACCTCCCTCCCCCTAGCTTTTCTTAGACATTTTTTGGATTTTTGATGATTTGTTAAACTTTATAGATATCTTGTTGCTCGAAGATGAGCCGTACGGTATTTTGAATGCTTATGAAAATGCATGTTTTCTTTTTTTCTTTTTTTTTGTGGGGTCTAAACTTTATTGCTTATTTCATCCTTTCATGAATTTTTAAGGGAAAATTGTAGCAGAAGCCCCAAACCTTTAAAAGACTTGTAGATTTTTTCCAAACCTTTGATTTGTGGCAGCCGTCACTCCTAATCTTTACATTCGTTGCAATGAAGGCCCTTTTGTATGGAAACCATCCAAACGCCCATCAGTTGACCGCCCAAATAAAAAATTGACCACTTTTAACCAAAATAGAGGAGGGTAAAATCGTCCAAGCACTTAAAATACCTTTTCATGCCCTTTTTTACTTGTTCGGTTCCCTCCAAATGAAGAATACAAGTACAACCCTAATAAATTGTCTGTCAGTTGTCAGTTTTTCACTCTCTATCAACATCCTAAACCGAACGTAGAAGTAATGGAGATACCAAAGTGTAATTGCGAAACTCGTGCCCAGATGAAGACGTCATGGACTAACTTGAACCCAGGTAGACGATTTCTTACCTGTCCATGAGGTATGGATCTACAAGGCTGTACGTTCTTTCTTTGGTGGGATCCCCCAATGTGTCAAAGATCAAGGGAGCTGATACCTGGTCTTCTGAGGTTGAGACGAGAGATGGAAGCTGAAATTAGGCAACTCCGTTCGAATGGAGGTGGGGTATGGAAGATCTGGTTTTGTGGGTTTGTATGTGGAATGTTTGTGAAGTGGATCTGCAGTTAAATCTGCGTAGGGGTTTTTCGGGTTTTTTGCCTGGATCTGTAATCAGCCATTCTTCGTGGTGTAACCTACTTCTTTCCCTACGTTAATGAAGGCTTAAATGTAGTTGCAATTTTGTGATGTTCTGTACATGTTCACTGTTAACATTGACCAATTTTGTTGTCAAATAAATATGCAAATATTAACACCCAAACGTTTGAAAAATCTTGTAGTAAAAGCCCCAAATGTTAGGTATATAGTGCAGATAAAGCCCCCAACATTTCGCACGATGTGGATTGTTGGTCCCATACCTTTGAAAAATGGTGGAAAATGCCCCTTTTCTATTCAACTGCTTACAGTAAATACCCCATCGCTTTAACAACAGTTTCCAGTGCAAAATTAACAACAACTTCAAATGTAGATGCAACAAAAAAACCTGTATACATTGGTAGCACACATTAATTTATGAAACTTCAACCCTCACAATGAAGAGTATTTTAACACTTCCTAAAACATCAAAAATCCATAATTCATTCATGTATACATTACATAAAAACCTATATACATTGGTAGCACATAAAAAATTGTATACATTGGTAGCACATATATTCCCAAAACATCAAAATCCATAATTCATTCCAAAAAGTTCAATTACATTTCTACATCCAATGACATCTAGACTACACTGCTTTGGACTTCTTTCCCTTCTGCTTCTGTGACTGTGACTGTGGTGCATTTTCTTTTGAGGTAGCTGTGGCTCTCTCTCTCTTCCGCTTCTGTGACTGTGGTGTTTCAGTAGGATACATCTATGCAGTGCGCGTTCTCTTATTGTGTCCAGCTTCTCCACACTTTCTACACGTCATTTGCATGCCTGTTCCGGTCATTTTAACTCCAGCGGGTGGTTCGGTCTGAGATCTTTTTCCGAGCTTTTTAGGCCTACCTGCCTGCTTCTTCTTCATTGGTGGCTTCAACGGGTGTTTCCCTAATTCAGGCCAAAGTTCGGGCCTTGACATTGGCTGAATCACGGGGTTGTATGCCATCAGATATCTTTCCTTCTTGTAATATTCATCAACAAATTCATATATTTCTATTCTCCTTGACAGCATACCAGAAACGGCACGTGCGCAAGGAATTCCAGTCAGTGGCCATTTCCTACATGCACATTCTTTTATCACCAAATCCACACTCCACCTCAAACCATCCGTGTTGCAAACTTCAAAATTTTGATTACTTGCATAATCTGCCCTCATAACTTCGCGTCTGATTTAGCCTTCTCAATTATCCCTACAATTTTTGGACCATATGCACGATCCCACCTTTGACCTGCCTCCCTCTTTGCAGCCATCCGTGTCATTTGTTGATGCCTTATCTTATCCAACATTGTGATTATAGGCTTCTCTCTAGTTGCAACGATGGAGGCATTGAAAGTTTCACACAAGTTATTCAACAAGATATCACACTTCGTATGCTTCTGGAAATGGGATCTCGTCCATTGAGCTGCAGGCTTCTCCTTAAACCAATAGAAGGCTTCTTCATTCACCATCTTCATCTCATTCATAACTGCATTCCACTGTGGTACAGTTGTAGACTTGGCTGCAGCCCAGAACAAATTCTTCAGAGTTAGCCTTTTATGTTTGAGAGTGAAATTGTTGTACAAATGTCTGGCGCAGCACCTGTGTTCAGACTTTCACAAAACTGATTCAGAGCTTCAACCAATCCTTTTTACTTGTCAGATATGAGAGTCCAAGCCTTACTATTATACATTTCTATATCCACCACCAAAAGTTCTATAAACCAAGTCCAGTTCGCTCTATTCTCTGCATCCACGACTGCCCAAGCAACTGAGAACATACAATTCTCACCGTCAATCCCCATTGCTGCCAATAACTGACCCCCATGTGTAGTCTTCAAAAAACACCCATCAAGTCCTATCACAGGCCTACAACCAGCCTTGAAACCTTCTTTACATGCCCCCAAGCATACATGCATTCTCTTGAACACACCTCCTGTTCCCTCAACCTGCAGAGTACTTCCAAGGTTAGTTTTCTTCAACTTTTCCCCATAGTCCCAAAGAATCTTGTATTGTTCCTCAAGAAGTCCAGTCACAACCGCTGCACATTTTGTTTTTGTTCTATAATATTGATATTTTGATATTTCATACATACAGTCCTCCTTCACTGTTTCCATGAAGCTGTTCATGGATAACTTCGGTTTCGATCTGAACTTACGTAGGTATTTCTTGGCCAAAAAATCCGCATGGACCTTACTGTTTTGCCAGACCAACGTGCAGCTATGTTCGTCCTAGAACATGTTGATCCTTAAGCTGCAGTCTTGCTGTTTGTAGGCATATAATTGCCATGGACAATTCTCTTAACATCTTACTCTTATCCTATGTTGTTCGTTCTTCACATCTAGCAGTTCTCTTGTATTCTTCACAGAGTATTGTACAATAGCTGCTCTAAAAAAATTTGTGCTCTCAAACTTCATACCTGTATAGCGCAGCAGAACACTTTAAACATGTTAGTATATATGAATAACAGAAACCTAAATATACAACAAATGAGTATCTGGGACCCCAAACCTTTGAAATATGAGCATCTGGGGCCCCAAACATTCAAAAAATAAGCATCTGGGCCCCCAAACATATGTCAATTAAGAGTTTTGGGGGCCCCAAACGTTTTAAAAATAAGCACTAGGGGCCCCAAATATATGACACATAAATGTTTGAGGCCCCAAACAGGTTTGCAGTTCATTAACCAATCTGGAATTTAGGGTCCTCCATGTCAGTTGAAGGGTTAAACCAAACTTCCTTTCTACTGTTACTTATGGCACCCGCTTCATCACCACTTGACATACTTCTCAGGTCATCCGAGTCCCCGTAGTCTGAACCACTGTTTACTGCATTTACGTTTACATTCTGCTTATTAGGTCCCTCATTGCTTACATTCCCCAGCCCGAATTCTACTCTCTCACTCAATCTGAAAAATGTGTCTTCGCCTTGGTTGCCCTCTTCCACATCCTCCTATTCGTATTCAGAATCGAAGAAATGTTCCAGGCCAATATCATTATCCTCTTTTTCCACCTTTGATTCACCACCAGAAGACCTAATGCCAGTATTCTGAGCATTAATGGCTTCTTCAATAGAGGGTTCAACAGGTGCATTTCCAAGATCTTCCAATCCCGTTGCACCCTCGGACGTGGGCTACTCCAACTGTGTGTCTACAGGATCTTCCAATCTTGTTGCACCCTCAAAAGTGGGTTGCTCGAACAGTATGTCAACAAGATCTTCCAATCCCATTGCACCTTCAAATGTGGGCTGCTCGAATTGTGTTCAACAGGATCATTTACAACTTCTACTCCTGCTTCATTTTCAACTGAACATGATATATCAGAGGTTGACGTCTCCCATATTTGCTCCACCGGTTGATCATTTGCACCTACCTGTGCCTCTATTACGTCCACATTGTCCACTACACTATCTCTCCTGCTATCCATACCATCTGACTCATGCAACTGATCCCTTTCAAATTCATCAACCACGTAACAATCATCACCCTCTACCGTGTCATCAAAAACCTCAACTGCAAATGCAGGTTTCTGTCCAACCTCCGTATCCTCATTGTTAACACACACTCTCCAAAATCTCACCAGTTTCCGTACCAGTTACTATACATCCAGTTGGTACATTCTCATCCCACGGTAATTCCAACATTGCGGTTTGTATTGGCAAACAGTACATATCTGCAACTCTTGTAGGACCAACCCATTTTACAACATTCAAGAAGTCTGCATTAGTAACTAACCAAAATGACCCCTCTGATCATCTTTTCTTTTCAAGCCTATGGATGTATCTCATACGCTCTTTGTAACCCAGCATCTTCATTGCATTATCTAACAGAAGTCGGTTGAATAAATCTGGATCCACGTAGTCGAGATAGCTGATCTTACCATGTTCATACATGTAATTCCGTATCTTACTGAAAATCATCCCACCATGGTTCAGGCGGACCATGAAATAGGCAGAGTTCTCTCTTGAAAAGGGGAAACATTACACAAGGCTAATCAGAACAAATATGGATATGACAATAGACATTCCAACGTACTCATTACAACATTTTGTCCATATAGTCCATTTCATACAATTTTCAAAAAACCCTACGTACTGCGTTTACCACAAATACCACAAACAACGAAAATACAAAATCGATTACAGAAATGGGGCTATGGTATTTTTTTGTAACAATCTCAACATTCAAGTATACGGGTTTCTCAAAAATACTACGTTTTCAAGATTTTTACTCTCTATAACTGCCAACGACGACACTTGCAAAAACATACCATATACCAGTTTCCGTAGAGATCCCCTTAGATGGCACGCACATCCGACATCTCCATCGTCGACTTCTCCAACTCAGGCGAGTTTATTGCCCCTTTTGTCGCGAATCTTTCTTCTCTTCTTCCCGTTAGTTGTGCGCTAGAAATTCGAAAAACAAGTGAAAATGAAGATGAAAAGTATTTTAAGTGTTTGGACGATTTTATCCTCCTCTATTTTGGTTAAAAGTAGTCAATTTTTTATTTGGGCGGTCAACTGACGGGTGTTTGGACAGTTTCTATCCAAAAGGGCCTTCACTGCAACGAATGTAAAGGTTAGGGGTGACGGCTACCACAAATCAAAAGTTTGGGAAAAGTCTGCAAGTATTTTGAAGGTTTGGGGCTTCTACTGCAATATTCTAAATTTTTAATGATGAAATGTCATCTAGTCAGCGTATGTGATAGAACTCGTAAGTCATGCGAACCTAGATCGGCCTACACATGCTGCTGTGCTTCGTAGAATTTCCAAATAGGCATTTTCGCTAAGGGTCGTAGCATTTACGACCTTAGATCGATCTGCGTATGTAGTAGGGCTTTGTAAGATTTCTTAGGAGGAATGTCCACTAAGGGTAACACGTACAGTCTTAGATCGGCCTGCATAAGTAGCAGGGTTTTGTAAGATTCCTTATGAGGATTGTTCACTAAGGGTCACAACACTTATGACCTTAGATCGGCCTGCGTATGGAGCAAGACTTTGTAAGATTCCTTAGGAGGAATGTCCACTAAGGGTAACACGTACAGCCTTAGATCGGCCTGCATAAGTAGCAGGGCTTTGTAAGATTCCTTAGGAGGAATGTTCACTAGGGGTCGCAGCATTTACGATCTTTGATCGGCCTGCGTATGGAGTAGACCTTTGTAATATTCCTTAGGAAGAATGTCCAATAAGGTTAACACGTATAGCCTTAGATTGGCCTGCATATGTAGTAGGGCTTTGTAAGATTCCTTAGGAGGAATGTCCACTAAGGGTAACACGTACAGCCTTAGATTGGCCTGCGTATGTAGCAAGACTTTGTAAGATTCCTTAGGAGGAATGTCCACTAAGGGTAACACGTACAGCCTTAGATTGGCCTGCGTATGTAGCAAGACTTTGTAAGATTCCTTAGGAGGAATGTCCACTAAGGGTAACACGTACAGCCTTAGATTGGCCTGCGTATGTAGCAAGACTTTGTAAGATTCCTTAGGAGGAATGTCCACTAAGGGTAACACGTACAGCCTTAGATTGGCCTGCGTATGTAGCAAGACTTTGTAAGATTCCTTAGGAGGAATGTCCACTAAGGGTAACACGTACAGCCTTAGATTGGCCTGCGTATGTAGCAAGACTTTGTAAGATTCCTTAGGAGGAATGTCCACTAAGGGTAACACGTACAGCCTTAGATTGGCCTGCGTATGTAGCAAGACTTTGTAAGATTCCTTAGGAGGAATGTCCACTAAGGGTAACACGTACAGCCTTAGATTGGCCTGCGTATGTAGCAAGACTTTGTAAGATTCCTTAGGAGGAATGTCCACTAAGGGTAACACGTACAGCCTTAGATTGGCCTGCGTATGTAGCAAGACTTTGTAAGATTCCTTAGGAGGAATGTCCACTAAGGGTAACACGTACAGCCTTAGATTGGCCTGCGTATGTAGCAAGACTTTGTAAGATTCCTTAGGAGGAATGTCCACTAAGGGTAACACGTACAGCCTTAGATTGGCCTGCGTATGTAGCAAGACTTTGTAAGATTCCTTAGGAGGAATGTCCACTAAGGGTAACACGTACAGCCTTAGATCGGCTTGCGTATGTAGCAGGGCTTTGTAAGATTCCTTAGGAGGAATGTCCACTAAGGGTAACACATACAGCCTTAAATCGGCATGCGTATGTAGCAGGGTTTTGTAAGATCCC